CAGCCAATTGGCCTGATCTGGGCCCTGACTGCCCCCATCCTCTGCCCTCCACCACCTGGCCTGGCCCCCAATTGGCCCCCAATGCCCCCGCTCAGGGGCAGGGTTGGCTGGCCAACTGCCCATGGCCCCTCCCCCCTGCCAGCCGGGCCCAATGGGCCCCCATCAGGGTGGGTTGGCTGGACCTCACCCATGCATGAATTCATGCTCTATATATATTGGATTTCTTCTTTTGGAGTATGTCAACCATATCCTAATCTTGCATCTCTGAAAGTGCATTTTAACTGTCTTGATTAGACTTGGGTATCTCCCAGATCTTCTTCCAGGCACATATTTACAGATTATCAATGAGTATTTTAACAAATAGAAGATTCAGGAAGGAACTTTGTGCCAACTCTCATTGACTGCCATCTTCAAAAAAATGCTGGGCTGTGAGCAGAGGTAGCATCTTACATATTCTTACAGTGTGTGAAAAATAAATGTTTCCTAAGTTGAATGGAGTCCATGATGTTTTAATTGTTTCAAATTTCACTCAGAGAGAAATATGTACTGATGTTTCCTTGCCACTTCCCAATATGCTGTCACCTCTCAGTCCTTAACATGCTTGACCACTCTGGCTTTTGGTCACGTAAGGGTAAGAGAAACATTACTTCTCAGAGCATTATTCTCCCTGAGCTTTCAGGACCCCACTCTGTCTTGGGTTCTCCTCTGTCTTAGGCAGCTTTTTCTCTTCCTTCTTCAAGGACTCCTTCTCCACCATCAATACTTTGAATGTTGCTCCCCTGGGTGCTGCCTTGTTTTCTCCTCTCCTCCTTTTGGCACAGACCAGGATGAACTCATGCATGCCATGGCTCCCAGTCTTGCTCTAGCTCCTTTCTAGAGCTCCAGATTAAAAAAAAATGAAAAGGTTACTATATTTTACTATATTTTGCAGTAAAAAAAAAATTATACATCACAGCCAAGTATACACATACAGAATTTTCCTCAAGCAATTCTTTACTGCAAATGTTGTTTTCTGATTATTTTCACATCAGTGCTGTACTAGAATAAAATACAATAGATACATACCAAGAAATCTCCAATCTGATACCCTTCTGCCTTTTCAACCTCAATGGCCAAATATGAGCTTCTTTTTTTCTCATCTATTACACCATGCAATCAAGTCAGTAGGTTGCACCAGCATGAAATGAATACTCTATTGTGTTTTATTCTATTACAGCACTGATGTGAAAATAATCAGAAGACAGCATTTGCAGTAAAGAATTGTTTGAGGAAAATTTTGTATGTGTACACTTGGCTGTGATGTATAATGTTTGCTTTTTTACTGCAAAATATAGTAAAAGAAAACATCCTTTTCATTTCCTCTTCTAACTCTAATAGAAGTTGACCCTTTTTATCCACATTCCCTGCCATAGCCCTAATTCAAGGCCATGTCATCTGTTGCCCAGACGTCTGATATCTTCTAATTGATCTTTTTCCTCCAGCCTCCCTACTATCAGTCCCCTTCCCTGCCCCTCCCGCCTCCAGCACACTATCCATCCTTCACAATCTGATAGCAGGCGCTCTCTAAAACATATATCTAATCTTGATCTAACTTTCTTAGTGTCTCTAGCGAGTTTTGGGATAATATCCAAACTCCATTGTCTGTAGTTTAAAGGACTTCTGAGTTCTATTTACTAGTATAAATGAGGGTATGTGCTGAAAGTTAAGCTTAATTGTAAAATCACCGATGTATTTTTTAAAAGGAAAGGGAAAAAACACCTTTTTATAGCAATACTATTACCACTTGTGTCCTAAAAGTCGTGAGATATCCTCTTCATTTCCTCCACATGCAAAATCAAAATTAGTGATTTCTCAGTACAGATAAGTAAAAATCTTTACTAATATAGCATCCCTAACTTAAGTTAGCATTTACCTCAGAAGAAATTGTAAGTTTTGCCTTTTTAGATAGCGATATTTTTTAGTTCTTTGCTTACTCCCAGAGTGCCCAGGACACAGAGAAGGCCCTTTATAAATATTTATTAATATATTGAGGCAAATATTTTCCTTGGGTGCCCTGTTCTGCAGGTAAACTAATTCCCATCAGTAGCATCTATCTCTGTGCCTTCTTGCATTCCATTCCTTCTGTTTGATTGTCCCTCTCTTCTTTGTTCTATTAATGAAGTCCTTGAAATCTGGATTGAATGTCCTTCCTCTGAAAGCCTTCCCTCACTTCTTTAGGGACAGCAACTACTGTTTCTCCTTCACCTTGCATGTGATCTGTTTTTGCTTCTTAGGACTCAATTTGAGTAAGTATGTCTCCCTCTGAGACAATGAGCTCCTGGAGGGAAGGGCTGAGGTCTCCTCTGCTTCCCTGGTGCCTGGTGCCTGGGGTAAGTAGGCTCAGTATGTATTGGCTGAGCTGAACTGACTACTAAGCATCTAATACAAAACTTGTCCTTAAGGAGCCTGAGAAAAGTACAGGATTCTTTCATTCAAATGTGTACTTACAGTTTATAGAAGCTTAAATCAGTGGCATCTGATACTTTTCCAAATCTGCGAAACTGGAAGCTCAACAACCGCAGCTAAGTTTCATGAAGCAGTGATATTTACCACTTGAATAATTTTGAACAACTTTATGTTTCTGAGCCTCAGCCTCATCTTTTTTTATGCCATATTTCTGCTCAAAAATTTACCGTGCACTGTGGCCCTTAATATAACAAATCCCAAAGCCTTTTCTCATTCACTCAATAAATATTTATGGAAGCTTTACTAGCTCTGAGGTTACAGCAATGAACAAAACCAAAGGCAAAGACCACACTTTCATGGAGTTGTATTCTAGGGCAAGCACCTCTCACTTGGTCTCTCCAACAGCCTCTCCTTACCTTATAAGGTTATCCAGCACCATGAGAGCTTCTCCAGTTCAGATGTGAGAGATCCTTACTGGTCTTAGTTTTCCCCTTGCCTGACTGTTCTTTTGTTTCTCTGCCTGTAGTACATTTTCTCACCAATAGTCAATACTCAGCCTTTGCTTTCAGTTCACACTCAAGTGTTACTGCCAGGAGGAAATAATCCTTAACTTAATAATTACTTGTTCATTATTTTATCTTCCAATCCATTTGGCAGTGCCTACAGTTTTCATTTATACATATCTCTTGATGGCTTTTGCAAATATTTCTTTTTTTCCAAAGTAAGTTATAAATTTCTTGAGGTAAAATCTGTATCTTCTACTTTATGTGTGTGTGTGTGTGTGTGTGTGTGGTCGATACTGTTTATTGCCTCCTCATATTATTTCTCACCTTCTTCCTTTTACCTTAGAACCCTCTAAAATGTTACCTGGACACATCACCGCCCAGCTAGAGACTGCATTTGCCAGCCTTCTTTCCAACTAGGAAAGGCCTCAGACTAAATGCTGGCCAATGGAATGTCAGAAGAAGCGATACATTGGAAGGGACTGGAATGTGATCTTGCAAATGACCAGTAATTTTTGACTTTGCAAATGAGGGCAACCCCCAAGGGAATGGTAAAACAGGGAGGTCATTTGGGTTCCTGTGCTACTTTGGGGAGATCTTCCTTACTCCACTGGGTGGCTATGAGTTCAAATTTTTATTCACTAAAAAAACTTCTATCTTGTTTGGGTCAAAATTACTGGCCTTTTATACAACAGTCAAACCATATCCTAACAAATACAATACTACTTACAGTAGTTAACATAGAAAAATATGAGTGAGTGTTGGATAAATGCCAATTACACAAGTGTATGTATCCCTGAATTTAACATCAGCATTCAGCAATAAGGTAATTTGTCTTTGTTTCTTGTTTGTTTTTCTTAAATGTTCCATGTTCTTACACATTATGTGTTTAAAAGAGGAAGTAGTGGTTCTGATATTTTTTTCACTGAACTGTATTTATTTGGTTGGAAATGTGACACATGCTCTACTCTGCCTTTTGATATCACTGAATAAGACTTTGGAAGGACTACCAGAAATAGGATAGTTTGGCACTTAAAGAAAATTGAATAATCAGGAAACCTTACAGAAATGTTCTGGTTTGAAAGCTGTAGAGAAACATGGTCACTATCAATCTCTGTAGCTCTTTGTGCTGCCCACCAACTGCACCACCACCTCCTGGGACTACAATAACAGAGAAAACAACATACCTCCAAGTCTCCTGAGATATTGGCACCTGCAAGAATCCCAGTGGCTGCTGGGAAAAAAATGGCAAAGACAGAGAAGAAACCTTCTCCTTTTGTGAAGCTTGGCCCAAAGTTTTCTGCAAATATTGACGCTGCAACACAAGTAATGAGAAAATTATTATTAGACATTCTTCACAGAGTAGGAGATAAAGTTACCTTTGGCTTCTATATCCCTAAATGCAAATGAGTTCCTATAATCTAAATGAAATGAACTGAAAGATGTTGGTGTGCTCCTGATGAACCTCATGGAATATTTGTCAACGGTCACATACATATCCCAAGTTTTTAGATCTTTAGAACAGAGCTCTGCAATTTTAAAAAATATTTTTTAAATTCTTTATTGATCTCTCTGTCTCTGGATCTGTTTCTATTCATCAGCTTATATTGTTCATTATATTCCACAAATGACTGAGATCATGTGATATTTATCTTTCTCTGACTGACTTATTTTGCTTAGAAGATTGAAAAATGAGGAAATGGAGAACTCTCTCATGGTCATACTCACAAATATGCCACACATATACACTCTTCTACACACATACAACTAATTCTCACCTGCATAAATACCTTAAGCAACACACTGCTTTTCTAATGCCTTTTTTTAAAAACTGCAGAGCCTTGTGTGTGGGGCTACCTTACAATTTTGCTGTTAATATTCTCACCTACTCACCCCTTGCTGAGATTGAATTTTAAATCCTTATACCAAATTATTATCTATGGGAGAACACTATTGCCCCAGGTTGTCACCAATGAAAAGGAAATAATCTAGAAGGAATGGAAAGGAAAGCAAGAAAAGAATAAAAAAAATGTGAACAAAAGAATCTGGAATAACGCAAACATAAGGAAAGAAAATTTATAACATCAGAAAAAATATAGCAGGAGGTGGGAGGAAGGAGAATAACAAGGAAAAGGATGTTAACATGCAAAGCAAACAAGACAATCCTTATAAAGAAAAAGAATCTGAAAGAAAGAGATGAGATCATATAAAAAGGAAATGAATACTGACAACTGAGCAAATGAACGGAAATCTTTGTAAAATCTCAGCAGTGGATCTATGATAAAGCTAGAGTGGGAAGCTAGGCAAGAGTGGATCTGTGGGGTAGAAGAGGAGAGAGAAGTCATATTCCATGTTCAGTGGCACTACCTCAGGATGCTACAGGAAGTAGCTCCTACAGCCTTTTATGCTTGAAAACCCAACAGTGATACTAGGCAATGCTATTAAAAAGCAAGGTGCAAAACAGTCTAGCAGGGAAAAAAATGATTGTTTTTTCCTTTAGTGCTCTCAGTGGTTGAACCAGTGGTCTGAGCTTTCTCCTCCTTTGCATGCGCACTCTGCTTCTACTCTTTTGACAGCAACAAGCTGTCTAGCACTTGGAGGTTTTCAAGACACTTTTACATCCTCTATCTTACTTGCTTTTTAAAGATCCCCTCAGGAAGTTGTTATTATCAGCTTATCAGGAGAATCTGAGACCCAAACATGTTAGGTGAGCCTTCCAGCTGGTGAGCAGCAGGGTTGAGACTCATGCTGGCTCTCCTGAATCCAACCTCTGGCTCTCCCCTGGATCACACGGGGATTCCAAGGCTGGAGTGGCGGTTACAGGGATGCTGGTGGAGGTGAGCAACGGAGAGCTATTTATTGCAAAGCAACTCATTTGTCAACTGTACCTTGGTAGTTAAAGAAACCTCTGGACTTCTTCTCATTGTTGGATGGGATGACGGTTCCAATGAAGAAGTTTGCAATAGCAATAAGAAGAATGATCAGAAGGATCACTTGAGCCTGGAATGGCAAAATAAAAGGAGGCCAAGTTAGATTTATTTAACAATTTTGTGCAAAACCATGAAAGTTATGTCCCCCTGACAAAAGACTCTATTTCATTATTGCAGAATGACTCTATTTCATTACCGCCCAGAGTAGGTAACAAGTAGATCCTAATGAAATGACTTCTTAATAAGCCTTATTTGACCTGAGTATACATATTACATTTTCAATGGGAGTATGTGCTTGGACACTTGAAAGTGACATTACAAGAACATTCTAAATACTAGGTAGGTAACTCACTGCAGTGTCCTCAGGAATGTAAGTGAAACCCAAATGTTTAACATTAATAGAGCTTATTTCCTTTTTAGGCAGAACTCCATGGATTCCTCCCATCCCCAGTGCTAACTGCAGAAGTACAAGAACACAGAATGACTCATAGAATTCCCTGGACACTTAGTGTATTTGATGCTGGTCTGCCAATGTGTTCCCAGCACAAGCAGCCTGCACAGTTGACCAGCCAAATTGTCTATTTTTAGTTTCCCATACATTTCAGGGTGTTTATTGACGTGGCACTTCCACATGCTGTTCCCTCTGCTAAGAAGGCACTTCTTTTTGCAGAACTATTTCCTTCTTATCCTTTCAGTTCTAGTTACCTCCTCAGACAGGCCTTTCATGACCACTGGATCTAAATCAGTAATAGCTAACATTCACCAAGGGTTTATAATGTAACAGCTGCAAATTTAACTTTATCAGTATTCTTTTAGAACTAGGTAGTATTATCAGCATTTAAAGATAAAAAAAACTGAGTCATAAAGATAAATTAAACAACTTACTAAGGGTCCTATGGTTATAAACTAGAGTTGAATCTAGGCATTCTAACAGCGGAACTTTAACTTCTACCCTCTATTGTCATGAAACTATATTGCCGCCCTCAGGGAATAAAGCCCTTGAAAGTAGATTTCCCATTATTTTCTATCTCAGTGCCTTGCTTATTGCCTTCATAGTACTTTGACAATTCACCATGGTATATGTACTTGTTATCTCCTTGATTATTACTCAGATCCTCATAGACCATGTATTCAACTAGGGTAGGAATTGTGCCTGTTTTATTCCGAGCTGAATATCCAGTGCCTAGCAGAATGCCCAGGACAAGTACTTAATCAATTTTTGTTTAATGTGTGAATGATTAATCCATAAATAAGTGCCATGTAGAAATGTTTCCTATTGCTTTCTATAGATGAAAGGCTTTGGCCATCTTTTCCTAGCCGGTGAGCATCAGTAGTCTCGTTACTGCATCTGCAGGTATATAAGTTCAGTTTCAATTAGACCAGTTACTGTATAGTTACAAAGCAATCAGAACACATGCTCCCCATCATTTAGAAGTTTACTAACTGTTTTACTACTCTTTAAATCCAGGTATTCTCTAGTTCCAAGGCCTGTGATGCCCTTTAATTTGCTACTGAAGTACTAGATTTCAGAGAATGATAGTTTCTGCTTCTATTACCTTCTCCCAACACATCTGCCATTTCTTTTGAGTTTCAGCACCCACAGCCACCTTGAAAGGGGCTACCAGGGGTGTGATGGAGAAACACAGGCTGCCAGCCTGTACAGATGCTATGATCATAAGGGGATCTGGGCATGAAGATGGCACCAACCGTGGTGTTTGTGTCACTGTGATGATACATAAACAAGGACAAAGCACTGATCTGATCATGTCACACGTGAGCTGTGAGTCATGACCACCTGGATGTCATGTTTTGAGGGCTTGGTGTTCCACCCTAGCGCTAGCCTGCAGCTTTTCCATAGCAAGTAATAATAGCAATTCTTTTTAAATATGGGCCTCCTTCTGTCCCTGCAACTTGTTCCAGGCCTGGCCATCGGTTGTTGATAACCTCATTTTGTGAAACTCACCTTTGCTTCCCACTCCATTCCAGCTACGGAAATTCCTAAAAGAATCACCACTGTGATTGAGCCTATGATCCGGATATCATTGGTTGGATCCACCATCATTGAATCACTCTCCTGGGGGGAAAAATCACAAAAATGGTTAGAGATGGATCTTTTATTTTTTTCCCCTTGTGTATTTATTGTATCATTTAACAGTAAGATGAGATATTATCTATACACTACTGTCTGAGGCCATACAGGATGATGGAAAAATGAAGTGCTCATGAATTTGAGAAGATAAAGAACCTAACATTAAACTTTTCTAGAGTAACAGGCCTTTGATAGCCAAAATTAGGAGTTGGACATTTTAGAGATTCATTTTAATTACAGCTTTAGAAGCTATTATAGCACTAAGTAAAAGTATGTATAGATACACATATCATGTATTGTTTCAGAAGAATGACTAGCTATTTTTGTGTGTCAGAAAAATTCTAGAGGAATAGAAATTAGTGTTTTCCAAAGTGAGTATTGGAATATAAATGTTATTCAATTAAAGAACAAACTTAAGAATAATAGTAATACAGTAGTCCCCCTGCCCTTATCTGTGGTTTCCCTCTCCATAGTTTCAGTTACCCATGGTCAACCGTGGTCCAAAATTATTAAATGGAAAATTCCAGAAATGAACAATTCATAAGCTTTAAATTAAGTGCTGTTCTGAGTAGCAAGACGAAACCTTGTGCTGTCTGCTCTGTCCTACTTAGGATGTGAATCATCCTTTTGTCTAGTGTGTTCATACTGTATACACTACCTGCCTGCCTGTCAGTCACACAGTAGTCTTCTAGGTTATCAGATCAACTATCACGATATCTTGATGCTTTTGTTCAAGTAACCTATTCTACTTCATGGTTTCACAGTGCAAGGGTAGTGATGCTGGCAATTCGGATATGCCAAAGAGAAGTCAAAATTGTAGAGAGCTTCCTTTAAGTGAAAAGGTGACCACAGTACAATAAGGTGTTTTGAAAAAGACCACATTTATGTAACATATTATAGCATATTCTTAGAATTTTTCTATTTTATTGAGTTATTGTGGTTAATCTCTTGTGCTTAGTTTATAAATTAAACTTTATAATAGGTTTCATATGTATAGGAAAAACATAGTATATGTAAGGTTTAGTACTATCCGCAGTTTCAGGCATCTACTGGAGGGCTAAGAGCATACCCTCAGTAAAGAGGGTGGGACTACTATGTTGCTGCTGATAATAATACTCATTATTTACTGTATGTTATGCAGTATTTCATGTACATTATTTCATTTGATCTGTACCACATTTCTATAAAATGCATAGAAGAGTTTTAGTCCATGTTAAAGATTTGGAAAACAAGATTTAGATGAATAGAGGGATTGGTCCAACAGCTGGTAAATGTGACAGCCAGGATTTTAAGTCAGATTTTTTTTTTTATGCTCACCAGATATTTTTCCATTGATATTTAGAGAGTGGAAGGGAGGGGGAAAGAGAGAAATATCAATGTGAGAGAAACACACTGATTGGTTGCCTCCTGTACAAGCCCTGGCCAGGGCCTGGGCTTGGGAAGAGCCTGCAACCGAGACACGTGCCCTTGACTGGAATCAGACCCGGGACACTTCAATCTGCAGGCCAATGCTCTAGCTTAAGTCAGTTTTAAGGTCAAGCCTAGGGCTCCTTCAACTATATCCAAGTTCCACATTCTGCAGAATAAATCTATTTCATCTCATCTTGCCATAATAATATGCCCTAGTGCCCTGAAAAAGCCAATTAAGGCAAATTATGTTGCTTGGATAAAAATAGAAGAGCTTTTACTTACCTTAAGAAGGTCTACCACAGTCTCAGCAAATCCCACCACATACATAGCAACAGCCACTGCGTTGGCAAAAGCAAAGATCAAGCCTATAGACCCACCGAACTCTGGCCCTAAGCTCCTGGAGATGAGATAGTAGGCCCCACCTGAAACAGAAACAACATGCTTTACATGAGGAACCGCTAAGGGATTTAGTTTGTTTATTTTATAAGGGGTTTAGTTTATATGGGAAAATAATTCTGAACATCTGAGAACATTTAAAATATTAATTGTTCTAATAAAAAGATTATATTTTCTTAATAATTTTAGGAATCTATGTCACCTTAATGAATAGCTTAAGCCTTCCTTGCACTTTGTATATTATCTACACTAGAGCTATCCTGACTCATTAAAATCCAACTTATTGAAACCTAATTAAATACAAATGTTACAAACAAGAATACAGCAAATGTTACCAAAAATGCTTTGTCTCCTATAATATTTCATTGGAAAGTTCAAATCAGTAATGTAACTGAAGTAAAATTTTATATCTGAAATTTCCAAAAACAGGCAGAGCTAACAGAAAATGAAATAGGTGAAGTTTATCAGTGTTATTCTAACTCTCTTTCTGTTATAATTTTCTGGTACCTAATTGCTATGTGAAAAAGGTATCTGTATAGTTCTATGTATTATCAACTCTATAAATCATACTTGGTTTTTTAAAAATATTTTTAGTTCAAGAAGGCATGATTATTGCCAAATATCTCTATGTGTATGGAGGTGACAAATGGGAAGAAAGGTAGGGAGGGCTTGGAACAATTCTCCCTTGGACCTTAAAAAGGTAGCTCTATATACGGCTGTGTACTTCCATGCACATGAAATACTGAGCTGGATTAGTTAACTGCTTAAAGGGTACTGAGAGTTGTCAGTGAAGGTAAAAAAGACTAGATGTTGAGAGGCCTGGATAACTTGATATTATCACAGACCATAGTAAATTAATAACTTCCTATACTGAGCTTGTCTTAGAGGTAGCCAGAATTGGTAGGGAAATGACATTGAGCAAACGTATCTAAAAACAAAACAAATGATCTTTACTTAAAAGGAATTTCCTCCACGACAGTCACTCCTGTGGGTTAAGGGGTCAAAGTCCTCTCTGAAAATGTAACCTATTTCAGTGGGGCAAATCCCCAGTATTTCCTTTGCCCATATTACACTAAATAATTTGGCTAGCCAGTTACTTAGGCTTGGTCAAAATGAGAGCCACACAGAAATTATGAGAGGAGGTGTGTTGTGGGAAGCACAGTGTTTTAGGAGCTGTTGGGTGGGGAGTCTTGGGGAAGATACCCAAATAGAAACCCGAGGAACCAAAGCAGAATGGAAGGGGGAAGAAAGAAGTTAGGACATTGATCCACTTTAGGCACTTCGTTTTCTGTTTAGGCCTGCTTGTTCCTGGATAATTTGAAAGCAACTCTTTGTTTTGTTTGTTTTTCTTTTTAAAGATCTTCTCATGGCTGTTGGACACCGGAAGCACAGGGGCTGGGTGAGCTCTGAGGACAGAGTGGGACGTTTCAGCAGTGACAGTGGGGCCACTGGAGGAGACCATGCTGAGGGGACCTGGGAGAGAGCCAACAGGGCTTGTCCAAGGCACAAAGAAATGCCTTCTTTCTAGACACCTGGTCACTCTCTACTTTGTAAACATGTTCAATCACTGGAAACGGGCTGAAGAAATCTTTTCTGGAGATCTCTTAATATTAGTTGAGAAGAACGCTGCCTTACTCCTTACATTTTGGGTTATTTTGTCTTATGTTAAGGCTTTGGAGACTAATTATCAATATACAATTTTTACTCCCAACATTAAATCAACTCTAGATGTTTAATTCATAACCAAGCTTGCAGTCATAGGTAAATGAATCGGCTTACCTCCTCTTACTACTCCATTTGTGCAAATGGCAGACATAGAAATACCTGTGAGTGTTGTCACTACCACACTCAGGCCAATGATGATGACTCCAAGACCTGCAAAATGCCCCAAGAAAAGTGTTTGGCTCCAGTACTTCAAGAAGTCCCCTGTACGTCAGGAGGCAGCAGTCTGCCTGTCACAGAAGGTTCAGTCTCCGCATGAGAAACCTGAAATGTTCTACAGAATCCCATTCCACGAAGGTCCAGGAAACACCTGAAATGTACTCAACTTTAAAATGGAAGCTGTGTCCAGGAATGATTTTCCAAGAAACACCAGGAAGAGGAGTGCAGACCAGCCTGAAAAATAAACCGTTTGCCCAAGGAAGTTGAGCACCTGGAAACCGGGGCCTGCAATGTGCCAGAGAGTCCGTTAGAAGAAGAGACCACAGCTGGCCAGGAGTGGGCCGGGTCTATACTCACAGTACCTCATGTTTCCTTCAGCATCCAGATCATCCAAAGAGTCAGCCAGGCTTCAAGGACATTGGGCTACTTCCTTGTTCCCATTAAAAAAAAGTATATAAAAAGTTTTGCCTACCCGTAGTAAGTGATGAGAGCATTAGATATCTTAGAAAGTTTACCTCCACGCACAAACCCGTTAGTTGCTATTGCAGAAGTTGACAACCCAGTAATAGAGGTTACCATGGTGGAAAGAAGAATTATGACAACTCCAAGACCTGTTAGCAATGAAAGATAAAAGATAGCACATTTTACTTTTCTTCCTTGGATTCCGTATGGCCACAAACTACACGGCCTTTTGTTTAAGTCTTCATGTCCAAGCCTTGGGCCACAACGGAGTTCCTTTGTGCTAAAGAGAAACTGGCTTGCCTGGCATACAGATCAAGTCAGCGGACTGCTCATTACGATGAAGGATGGTTTCCCAACGTAAACACAATCTAAACGGCAGCCCTGGAAAGGAAACGTTGACTTGGGCTGATGTCCTGGGAGAGAAACTACCCTGGCTGTGAAAAGAGAAAACATGACATCTGACCTTCTCTCTTGCTTGAGAGGAATGAATGAGAAAGTTGGGGGGTTGACAAAGGTTAAATCCTTCCCCATTCTTCTTGCATCTCTCTTGCCTGAGGAGGGGTTGGGGGGGAAACTTGGATTACCTTTAAAAACACTCCAGAAAGGTCAGTGGTGAACTATTTGAGTCTGTGTTGCCTTTACCTTACAAATGATCATGCGGGTCACAAGTTTAATTACCTCCTCTGACATATCCATTTGTGGCAATAGCAGAGGTGGATAAACCTGTGATAGCAGTCACTGTCACGGCTAAGCCGATGATAATCACACCAAGACCTCAGTTGGGAGAGGAAAAATAAAGGCAATTAATTGGTGGAACAATCCATTAGGTCATTTGCATAAAAACCAGCAAGTCTAGGAGAATCACCAAAGGACCAGATTTGTGTTAACAAGGGGGCCTAACAACTGCCACAGAGTAAGTGCTCAGTTCCTAAGTTTTCTGCCAATAGCAGCACAGATCCTACAAACTTAAGAGCTAAGATGCGGAGTGTGAAGTTGAACACAATGAAGCAACTATGGCTGGTCAAAATTTAACATGAACCTCACTGATGATGATGATGAAGTTCTAAAGACACCTATACACATAGTAATCGGTCTATACCAGTGGTTCTCAACCTTCTGGCCCTTTAAATATAGTTCCTCATGTTGTGATCCAACCATAAAATTATTTTCGTTGCTACTTCATAACTGTCATGTTGCTACTGTTATGAATCATAATGTAAATATCTGATATGCAGGATGGTCTTAAGCGACCCCTGTGAAAGGGCCATTCGACCGCCAAAGAGGTCGCGACCCACAGGTTGAGAACCGCTGGTCTATTCTATACTAAGCTGTTAATATAACTAAAGAGTAAATGTTCATCTGTCCAGGTAACTATCTCTTTATATACATTTGGTTGTGTAGGAGTGGGAAATTAGATACCATCTAACAAATTGTTCATCTGGCAGATAAGTAATATGGAAAGAACCAAATTGAACTACTTTCACTCACTGGCTATGTGACTTCTAACAAGTTAATTTTCTGAGCCAAAATGGTAGTGAAATGAGAAAGAATGCATGTGTGAAGTGGCCAGCATTGTGCATAGAACACAGTCCACAATCAGTGGCAGTGTTTTGTGATCTGATCCACAATAGTCATAATAGCCATTGCTTATTAAAAGCCTACTCTCTACCCAGCTATGTGTTAGACAACATGAGAAATACAAAGAACAAACAAAATGAAGAAAGCGGACCTCCAGGATCTATGGTACAGAAGTCCATGATTACGAGAGGGAGAGAGTGGTAAACCAGAACTCAAAGGAAGGCAGGGGTGCTCTCAGCTAAGGATTATTTTGAACTAAAGGTAGTTGAAAAGAAGCAGATACTTCCCTCTATTTGCCTAAACACAGGACATAAATTTGTAAAGGTGCCAGAGACAAGTCTAGGCCATTATCAGCTGGAATTAGTACCAGAGAAACATAAACTTATCTTCTATTAGTTCCTCCATATATTTGCATTGCCACAATTTGCCACCCTCCGTAAGTGTTGGCAGGCTCTCTAGTTCCAAGGATGATTAGAAGGGTAATCAGCCAAGAGAGGTTATGATCTCTCTGGACATTCCCCAGGAAAAATGGAAGTCTAGGGAGATAAAGGGAAGAAACAGGAACACCCTGGCTCTAGCATAGGTCTCTAGGCTTTTTCCAGGTGCAGTAGGAAGAGGCTAACTATGGGTAAAACATGCAAACTCGAACCATATTGCTTTGGCACCTGTACATTCTTAAGTGTGGTGTTCTAAGAAATAGTTGCACTAAATTTTTTACATTTATTGCAGGCTTCCTGGGGTGAGCATCACCTCTTCACCACTATGTAGCCTCAGTTCTTTGTGCCTCTAAAAGTGATTTCTTTTGACCTTTTGCACATCAATTTGCTCTTGACTTCGTTTGGAGTAAGTCTGACCAAATGTTTAGCTCACTCCAACAACTATACAGAACCATATAGTTTGCATTTCAGGGTATTAAACCTACTCTGTTATTTCCCTACCACAGTTTTCCCCTTGCCTCTATTTTCCCAACAATTCTTAGTTTATCCGTTGGCATTGCATACATTTCTGTAAACCATATGAAATCCTGAAATAAATTTTATTCATTCAAACAGTGGAGGGATTTGTTTCTCTCTCACAAACATAAAATCCCAGGCTAAAAAGTAAAGTAGAGAACATTTAGCTCATAGTTTTCTCAAAGTACAGTCATCTAATCACCTACTCCAGAAAATGCCTGGAGCGCCTATTAAAAATGCCCGTACTTAACTGAGCTTGATCTTTCAAAGTGAATCCCTGGATTCTACAGTTTTATAACTTAACATCCCAGGTGATTTTTATGCACCCCCCAGTCTGAAAACTATTTCACTATCCTCAGCCTGTCTCAATTTGAGCCTGCCTATTCAGCAAGGTTCTTTAGCATTACCTTCAAAGAATTGATTGGGAAACCATTCATTCAGCTCCCTGATTTTTAGATGAGACAATGACCCTCACAGAGTATAAATTACTTGCTTCTGGTCATACCTGCTTTTCACACCCTTTTTCCCTGCCTGATAGTTAAGTTTAGGGGAAACTATCTGGCCCCAGCCACAGTCTTCAAGGCAGAGAAGAACAAGGAGATGGCATTGTTGGCTCATTCTACCATTTGCTTTTGGGGACAAGACAGCCAACACTCATGACTCCAGAATGGTTACCTAAGGGCTACAGTTAGTTACTCCTGGCTCCAACTTTCTTCTGGCTTTCTTCCCAGGGTCTGGGCTTAGAGTATTCAGGTTTCTTCTCCAAGCTATCCCCAAAGCAAAAAGCAACTATTTGGACTGTTTCTTTTCTTACCCAATTAAGGGGACTCAAATGGGACCCAGGTGGTGACTTAATGAACTCATTTAGCTTTAAGTTCAGAGCAAAGGCCAGTAAGACTGAGTAAGCGTAGTAATAAGTTTCTATCGTCTGAGAATTAAAAGAAAGGGTAGTGTAAAATTTATTTTAACAGCCATGTAGGTAGAACTCTATCTCTTCTAAAGTAGGATTGAACTATTTAAGTAAAAGGTCTTTATTGAAACGAGACTGATGTCTGAAAACATAATAAGCAGTTTAGCAGAAGGTAGGATTCTTCCTCTTTACAGTGTTGCAATAAACATGAAACTGGATTGACTGCGAAAAGTAATGTAAGATCTGATTAAAGTTCAGATTATAGCCCGACATATGGATGTTAAATAAATTGCATTAAAAAGAATTACTTTTGCCCTTGGCTATGTTCACACCTCCAAACAAAGTCATGTTTCTTGATGATCTCAATAAGTCACTAATCTGCCCTTAGAAACCTAATTTTGCATGAAACCCTGGAGCAAAAACTTGGCAATATTAAGATGCAGATTTTCCATGGAACAGCATATACTTAGTTGGGGCCCTGCGGCTGTAAGCATTCATTTGACATGCATCATAAAGCCAGCAAGCAGCCCTTTGTCAGGAGCCCAGCAGTTGCCAAACATGAAACATGGAAAAACTATGGGAACAGGTTCCAGTTTTTCAATTTACAACCCAGCCCTTTCTTTTTTCCAAGTTAGTCTTCTGATGATTCTGAATGTGTTTTGAGGAGCAAAGGTATTAAATAATGACCAAGTACCGTTTGAATGAGAAGTGAGATACATTCTGGAATAGTATCTGAAAGCATATCCAAATGTCTATGTTCTTGATACTAATGATTTAGAAGTCTTCCCTAAGAGTGAATCCATAATGTCTTTTCCATATATAGACTAGAGCACCATTATTAATTTTTATCACATTAAATCAGGAACTTTGATAAAATTCAAATACATTTTTATATAAATTTTTTATTAATATACTTTCAATAAAAAGATTTGCCACAGGAAATAATACTTTAAATAGAATATAATATTTAAACATCAAATAATCACTCATAATTTCAACATTCATCTTCCATTTAGAAAAATTAGCAAGAGCTATATATATATGATCTGAGTCGTTTTATCTATCACTGTAAGCTTCCATCTGGCAATACTTTATTAACCTTTGTTTTCTTACTGCTGATACCTAAAATGAACAGAACTATTTTCTTTGGAAAATGTTCAACAATTCAGCACTTTTATTAGTCAGGTCACATTTTCTCTTGTTTTCCTCAAGTTATTTTTTACTTAGTGAAGTTTTGCCAATAATCGTAAGGGGGATACTCTGATAAATGTCAGTATGTCACAAATATGAATACTGTTATTTAATATGAGTGTGTATCTCTATACCTGTACACCTAAAACTCTATGAAAATGTAGAAATATTTCCCTGAGCACTTATCTGGTTGGCAAACTGGAAAATTCCAGTCTCCCAGGAGTTAATGCTTCACCTTTCCTCTCTGACAAACATGTCTAAGAGGCAAAGCGAGAGTACAAATGCTCTTCTGTGACCTTCATCTTACATTCAGCATTAATGGTGAACACAAACTGCTTATTGAGCTTAAAACTGACATAAAACTTTATATAAGAAAGGGGGAACATGCTTACCTATTCCAGCTTCTCCAACAATCCAGGAGAGGCGAATGAAGAGCATGACACCCCAGATATTCAGCATGCATCTTACCTGTGAATGGAAGGATGTTGAAAGGGACATGAGAAGTGATAGTGCGGCAAAACCCAGGTCTTTGTAACCCTGGTGTTCAGGCCTCGTTAACAGTCTACTAGAACATTGAATGGATCATTTTCATTTGTAAACAGAGGAGCTTTCTCACCAGCACACCTTTCACCCATCCGAACTTCACAGCCCCGGATTTATCTTCTTCTTCTTTATTTTCAGCTTGTTCATCTCCAGGCATCCCATCACCGTTAGCAACCCTGTCAGGTAAACCTGGGGCCACTGCCACATTCTGCATTGTTACAGACAGCAAAGACATAGTATACGTCAACAAACACACGTTTCCATAAAAACTTCAGAGCAAATCAAAACAATGGACATAAACTTAGACAAAAAAATAATTCTAGACATTTTAAGATAATTAATGTCTGCCCTGGGAAGCTGAAGGCACCAAGAACATTGGGCTAATCAGGTGTGGTGAGCAATCTGGGCACTTCTTCTACTGGTGAGAATATTACCTTACAGGAAAATGACCAGCTTTTGATTTGTTTAGAACAAGAAAGGAACAAAAGAGAGAAGGGATGCAATAAAAGGAGGAAAGTCTATCAGGAGTGAATGAGGGTCTTTGAGAAGACTTGGTAAGAGGACCTGAAAGTTAAGCTTCCTTAACTAAAACAGAGTACCTGGCCTTCCTTCCATTACTAATCTCTCTGGGATTCATTTTATTCATCTAAAATAATGAGATAAAACTTCCCTACTCACGTCAGGGTATCTTTACGAAGATTCAATGAATGGATACAGATTTTTTCTTTTTAAGAAAAAGGTTTAAAGGCATTGTATGGCTATACAAGAATGCTATTTCTGTAGGAAAATTTTCTTTTTGATGAGATATGCCTTTGCCTGAGAACTGTGGGCTGTGCTATTAGTATTGCACAGAAGGAAAGGAGTCTCATAATTAGAAAGATTGGCTGAGTGTGAAATGAGAAGTAGTATAAAAAAGCTTAAAATATTCACTTATTTATTTATTTATTTATTTATTTATTTATAATTTATTTTTCCTATGGCCTAACTTTGAAAAAGACCTTCCTTATTAGTAGAAAGTCTCTGAATTCAGTGGGGGAGGTAATAGCTCTGTTTCTCTCAAGAATAACTCCCTAATTTCTCTTTTAGGTATGACTTTTATTAATTTCAGAAGCATCCACTTAATTTAGCCTATCTGGCACCTACCTGACTCTGTAATGGTTGGACTATACCCCATTGTGCTTCCCAAAATCAATCTTTCGCAGTAAGGGTTTTGAGACCATTAGGGAAGTCTTTTAATTCAGCACTGAATTATTATTAAAGGACAACTTTATTTGTTTAAATGTTTTAAATTTATTTAAGCCTAGAATGATATGTTCTGAAATTACCAGCTAAGAGGTCTTGGACAAGGGTATCCCCTGCCCCCTAAAATGGAACTGGCATGAAATAAATATTCCATATTAATTATAAAGACTTTATTTGAAGGCCATCTTAGTTCTTGCCCTTGCCATGCTCAGGGATTCTTGTTGCTTGAGCTTTGGTGTACCATTAAACCTACACACTGTAAACTGGCTCTAATTTAGGCTGTTTATTCAAAATGAGTTTGACTGCTTGTCTCCTTCCTCCAGCATATTTTTTTTACTTCTCTATGTAAGTGAGGATATTTTCCAATTTTGTTCTCGCATAAGACTTTTTTCATGATACTAATGTGACACTTGGGTAGCCAATGTAATATAATACAATAAGAGTCCTTGTACGTCAAGTAAACTGAAAAGAAGATGGTAGTGTTGGTTACTTCTCCTCAATGTCAACTAAGGGCCTTATCCATCAGGCTATTGATAAGCACTACTGAATCCATAAAGGGGACTTGAAGGTCACCTGATAAGAGCAGACAACTTAGTTCCTCATCCGTTCTGGCTTCCTATCTCTTTTCTCTTCCTTCCCTATCCTGTATTCCCTTTCTCATGCTTTCCTTTGTACAGACCACATTTCAAAAGGGAGGGGAAAGAAATAAATCCCAAGCCAGATTATTTTATTTAAAGACAGCATTGGAAGGAAAAGGTTGAATGAAAAAGGATACAAATTAATAGTTAAATTTAGTTATGAATTACCTGGAGTATGTATCTTAAGCATCTTTAAGTCTCTATTTGCACAGACAATTGAAAGTCGACAGCATATATTTACATCAATGTAAGATATGGATAAAGGCAGTCCATGGAAGTGGAGGTTGAAGTAGCAGGGCAGAACCTGGAGCTGTGTTCTAGCCACAAATGCAAGTCATGCATGTAATTTACAATTTTTCAGTAGTTAATTTTAAAAAAGCAAAAAGAAATCAGTAAAATAACATGGGTTCAGATATGGATCCTTAAATCTTAAAAATATACTTAATTTCTGCAGAATATCATATTTCTAATACTTGCAATGTAAATATTCATTAACAGCTGTGGAATCCCACATGGTAGATGGGTGAAACAGTTGGGGTTGTTCTCCAGTCAATTAAAAATTCAACTTCTCCCTGAAAGGATTCTACAAACATAAGGCAGCTGAGTGGGTCAAATGTAACTTTCATTTTCTACAATTGGAAAATCAATGAGAACAGAGAATTGAGAAATGTGTTAAAATGTCCATGACAGTTGAAGAGATTATTTGGTTAGGAGATTCATTTATTGACTTAATTTGAGAAAAAACTTTTAACATTGTCAATAATCTAGTTAATCAAGATCCCATGGCCAGATTAAGAAGTACAAATTGCCAATTATCAAAATAGTCATGGCAATATAAAGTACAGCATGAGGACTATAGTCAATAACATTGTAGTAACTATATATAGTGTCAGCTGGGTGATCACTTCATAAGGGGTATAAAAATCTGAGCTCTATGTTGTACACTGAAACTAATATAATACTGTATGTCAAATATAATTGGAAAATAAATTAAATTTTAAAATTGTTATTTAAATGTTAATATGCTTTGGAAAAAAAGATCCCATGGCCAGACCATCAGCAGTTACTCATTCAGGGCAAAGGCAATTTCCTTTTCCTGGATTAATTGGGGATCCCATGAGACAAAGCCTTAATCACTTGCTCTACAAGGGCAGTCTTGGGAATAAAACCCATGTTTTATGATTAAACCTGAACTTGAGGGTCTGGTCCAGGAAATTGCTTTGCTCTCTGATGAACTTTGAGGGTAACTGTGACCCTTAGATCTGGATTAATGAGAATACCAATGGCTGTAAAAAAAAATCTTACAAAGTAGGTTAAAGGATGAATAGAATATTAATATTTCCTCTTAAATGAACATATCTTTCTGATTGATGCCCTTCTAGTTGTTTAATAGTTCTTTAACTTATCTCTCTATATAAAGCAAAAGAATCTTCTATAGGACATGTCAAGGAAATCATCATATGTAGAAATTAGTAAGGCAATAATTTTCTCAACTATTCCATCAATGTAAAATATATAACCCTCCCTTAGGTAAATATGTTCAACCCGCTGAAGTTTCAAAATTTTAAATGTATTTATACCTTAGAGGGGAAAACCCTGCAATGTATATATTTCTTCTATTGACTTTAATGGCCTGATAGTAAACTTATAAGTACAGAATCTACTTCCATTGCTCATTCCCAGAGTTGAGAAACTGCTGCACCATATAAACTAGAAGACTTGGACTCCAGTTTGGGCTATGTAATTAATTCGGGGTGTGTCCCCCAGCCAGTCACTTAACCTTTCCTGGATATTGCAAATGAAGATACGTCCACTGGGTTTTCTGGAAATTTTACTTTGAAGTAGTTTACTTGAAGGCAAATTCATTTTTCTATGTCTGCTATCTTCCTGTTCTGACATGGCAAAGAAAAACTTGGTTTCCCTTCTTAATAAATGCCTCGTTTGCAAGCCCAAACAGCAATGATGATAAAGTACTGAACAGGACTTTGGGGGAGGGTTTGTGGGTGGTCGGTGGCTGTGGCAAGCAGACTCCTGGCTCCTGCATGTTCTTGGGACCAATATCTCAAAGACTAATAAAAGTTTTATGCTTGCTGCCTGGAACCAGTTTTTCCCTTCATACTTGGAGTTAATTTGTTTGTTCACACTCCATTACCATAAATGATGACCCATAACCTTTATAAATGCATTTTAAATTGCATAGCTTTAGGGAATGATTATTTATTTACTAAGGGTTTTTACCTGTGCATTAAGTATTCAGAGAAGGTAAAATAAAGTGCATTAAAAAGAAAGAAGGAAAATAAGAAAAACCATCTGATAACAAACTTTGTTCCCCTAATACTAATAAACTAGTAAAGCTTCAATTGTATACAGATTAAGGAGTAAATGAAAAAAATAACATATTTATTCTTTAAGTTCTAACTAGATACATTTTCAAGTTTTTAGCCTTTAATCTCAGGATAGTAAAAACTTTACATCATCATTGAGAAGTAGTTTCGTAAATATTTAGACCTACATGATACCTTTCCCATTATATTAAAATATTTTTTATTATTGAAATATTTAAACATATGCAATAGGGAGAATAATATATCTCATGTACCTATCATTCAGCTTCCACAATTATCAACATATGTCCAATATCATTCCCCTAGACCTCTGAGACTGCTGTCACTGGATTGCTTTAAAACTAATTCCTAAGGACCAGATAATTCCTAAGGTTAATTTCAGAATTAAAAAAACACACAACATGATTCTAATCACATTTGTATATCTTAATAACCAGTATTACTATGTTTGTACATTTCTAGCCCTTTGTGATAAAGGGGAATATTTTAAATTGTGAAAATAAACAAAACAAAACAGAAACAGACTCATAGATACAGAGAACAAATTGATGATTGCCAGATGGGAGGGTGTGGAGGATGGTGAAAAGGTGAAGGGCATTAAGAAGTACAAACTGCCAGTTATAAAGATAGTCATGCGGATGTAATATCATAGTATATATAGTCAATAATATCATAATAACTGCAGGGTAATATCCTGGTGATAACCATAAGGTATATAAATATCTAATCACTATATTATAGACTTGAAGCTAATGGGATATAATTAACTATAATAAAAAAATTTTAAAAAGGAAATAAGAGGGTTTTTTTTCTCTTTCTAAAAGTTACTATAGACTATGCCTCTAACTCAGACCAATGGAACAATTTATAGTCACAGTATTTTTACTACATCTGAAAAACACGTGGCTCACACACAAATGGACATATTTTTGATAACTTGGGCCAACAGGGAGCTATATGTGATAAACCATGATAAACCAGAA